CAGTTCCTTTCAAGCGGTTTTAAGTGACACCGCCAGACACGTCTGACGCCACCGAAGCATCGTCCAGAGATGATAACGGCGCGGTGTTCAGCGCAGGCGGCGGAGAAACTGCGGACGGAGCAGAAGCGGGCGAAGCCGCTGAAGACTCAACAGGAGACGAAGGCGACGGCGGCGAAGGTAACTGCGGCGACGATGGAGGTGACGGTAGCGGAGGTGACGGGGGTGGCGACGGTGAAGCGGACTGCGCTGTAGCCTGACGTTTTGTGGCCGTTCCCAATGACGGCCCGGCCAAAGAGGCGCGTGCCAGCCGTGACTTAGTCGCACGGAGCCCAGCAGTAGACTGGAGCCCCACCAAGAGATCACGAGAGGAAGCAGACGGGCGTGATGAAGCCATAGTGACCGCCTCGGGTTGGAACCCACTCAATTCCAGTGAAGCCAGGCCCGTAGGCGAAGATGACACCGGTTCGAGCGAGTCCCTGTTGAGACGGCCGACTTCGCCGTCTGCTGTGCTTTTTCGAGAATGAACGCTATGAAGAGGCGGCGGTTGCCAGAGGGAGGGTGAGTGTATCCGATTGGGTGATATTATAATCTTATTGCAATGGGTTGTTAGTAGTACTATGGAATGTATAGTATTGTAATTAATAAACAGGCAGATGTAGGACGGCTGTGGAAGCTTCTAGAAGCTTCCATCCGTCTGAACTGCGGAGGCAGGAATTTTTCCTTTGGCGCGCTCTCCCCCAAAGCTCCCCTGACTTCGATAAACTTACCGTATTGCGGATTGACGCTCAAAGCAATGATTGGAAAATATATATTTACAGCAATTTTTCATAATCACTGCTATTACGTCTGGTTATGCAGCGGTTGAGTGCAGCACATTACGCTGGCAGTTTTTTTTTTCTTCTTCTTACATGTATCGCCAGCTGTCATTCAACCATGTTGGGAGTCTACAAGTACATGGATGTAACGCGTCTTCATATCCGCTTAAATACGAACGGACTTTTCTACCCTTCTTCTTCCTCATTCCAGAAAGAGAATCCGCCGCATCGAGGAAAAATGGTAGTGGCTTTAATACAGTGCGTAATCGCTGGTCAACCAGGAAACTCGTTCGAGGTTGAGATCGACGATGCTGCGAAGGTTAGCAAGTTTAAGGACGCGATCAAGGAAAAAAAGCCTAACGAACTCAAACATGTCGATGCAGACAAGCTGCAGATCTTCCTGGCGAAGCAGCCCGTTGTAGAGGAGAGCAGCAAAGAGGTCGTTACTGATTACCGCCCTTCTGCGAAGGAGATGAAGGAAAGGCTCAAGTGGCTCCCAGGCGAGCATCGGGCTGCTCTGAAGCTGGTGAAAGGAGAATCCGACGACTACATCAATGCGCTGATGGCCGGAGAACAGATTCTAGGCTCAAAGACCTTAGCAACGTGGTTCTACACGAAGAACAACATGGAGCTCCCATCCAGTGAGCAAATTCACATACTGGTGAAGGTGCCGGAGGGGGCTGGCGACGATCAGGAACTCGTAAGTCTTCTCTCAACGAGTATCCAAGAAGAGAATGCTCGAATGTTCCATAAAGTGGCGGAAGAAAATCGCGAAAAAAATCGCGAACGAGATCGTAAGCGAGCAGAAGAAAATCGCGAAGAAAATCGCGAACGAGATCGTAAGCGTGCAGAAGAAAATCGCGAACGAGATCGTAAGCGTGCAGAAGAAAATCGCGAGCGAGATCGTAAGCGTGCAGAAGAAAATCGCGAACGAGATCGTGAGCGTGCAGAAGAAAATCGCGAACGAGATCGTAAGCAAGCGAAAGAAATTCGCAGGCTAGAGGAAGAAACTCGCAAGCTAGCGGAAGAAATTCGCGAACGAGATCGTAAGCGAGCGGAAGAAACTCGCAAGCTAGCGGAAGAATTTCGCAAGCTTGCGGAAAAAAATCGCGAACAAAATCGTAAGCAAGCGGAAGAAATTCGTCAACATTTCGAGAAATTTTGTAACCCCGCGACGCCGACTACAAGCGATGCACAATTGGGCTACAAGCATTTGAATCTATTGCAGCTGAAAGGATTCGTCTCGAGTGCAGAAGAAACAGTCGGAGCAGATGCATTTTGGTCGGTGGACGTTCAAGCCCGAGTCAACAGCATTTCGAGGGAGAATGATTTTGATGCTTTCATTTCTACTTACTTCAGCAATGCGCTGGACAGCCACGACCTTGTATTCGTCAACAGCGAGCTTTATAAATGGTTGCCGCAGTCTGCGTTTGTTGGCAACAGCAATACAGACCTCAAACTAGATGGGTTTGTCACTCATCGTGGGATGTATCAGATGATGTCCGCACCAAATGATGCTGTCAGTCGAGTGGGTACCTCATTTCGTTTTGGGACAGCAACTAAGACACTGCCTGATTTCATCATTCTCTTCGAGAGCAAGATCACCAAAGATTTGGGAGGGGCTTCATTTGGCCAAGTCGTGCGATACATGCAACACCTTTTTCCCGACGGGACCAGGAAATGCCGTTCTCTTCAACCGCAAATTGTTTTGGCTGATCGAAAGCATCAATGGTGGG